GGTCTAGCTATCGCTGCTTTTCTCTTAAATATCCCTTCTAAACAAAAACCACGACTGCCAATATCTTCGCTCACTTATAGTGAGGATACGCCTGAACTTTATCTGATTCTAACTCTAGATAGTGGGAGACTCTTCGTCAATCTGAATTCCGAAGACCTTTGACGCAATCGAGTAGCTCTGATGAACGGCGGCACTTCCATAGACTCTCATGCCTTTTTCGTACGCTTCTGTGATGCCGGGTTTGAAGCCGCCAGCGTCTGCCAAGAGCTTGCCAAGCAGCGCCGCATCTTGCACTGCTGTGTTGGCACCGAGACCTCCTGCGGGCGTCATGGAGTGTGCCGCATCTCCGATGACAGTTACTCGAGGCTCGTTGGGCCACTCGGGCACGCCCCAGGGAGTGGAGCAAGTAATCTTCCAGAACGCAGCTTCAGACTCATCCATTTCGTCGAACAGTGGTCTGAAGCGGGGATGCCAGTTCTCGACGAGAGATTTGGCAATATCAGCTGCTTGCTTGCCCACGATAGAGTAGTCGTCATTCGGGGCCCGTATTACACCTGGTTGACCACCCATAGTCCAACCAAACTTGACAGTGGGATCGTCCATGTCACGAGAGCGAACGTTTGTCATGATGAAGACATCGCCATTGGGTCGTGACTTGTCTCGCAATCGGAAAACGCCCTCTCCAAGCTTTTTGAATGCCGTCGTTGACGCTTGGCCGTGGATCCCCCTAGCGCCGGTATCGTACACCTTGAGTCTTCCGCCAGACACTTGCTTGGCGACCCTTGAGTAAATGCCCTCCCCGGCAATAAGCATAGAACCTTCGGTTGACTTGGTGCCATCCGCAAATACAGCCCTTACGCCATCCTCAGTCAGCTCGTACCCCGTCACATGCTTGGCCCACTCGATGGATTCTTCGCATCCTTGTGCGAAGATCTTTCGCATGTCTCCTCTTGCTATCCCTACAATCTTGTTGTCGCGAGAGGATAATTGTTCAGGTGCAGAATGCTCCGTTTCCTCGCCAGTAACTGCATCTAGCTCAGAAAACCCGCTACCGCCGGTTTTGCCGCATGTCTCCCAAAAGTGTTTCCATAACTGAGGCTCGAGTACGGACTCGATAGCGTCCAAGCCTTCTGCCGATAGACGCAGACGATACCCTTGGGCGCGAAATGTGAACGATGCGTCACGCTCAAAGATTCTGAAGGGAATTTTAGATCTTTTGAGGGATTGTGCGAGGAGCAGCGATGAGAGCCCGGCGCCTGAGATGAGGATTGGCTTGTGGGTGATCATTTTGCGTAGATAGATGAATGGACGGACGTGTAGGAGAATCTGCTATTTGCCGCATCGATGTCTAAATACTTTCGGCGCATGTCTCACCTCGGAGACATCTGTCGAGGGCTTCCTACTGGCTGACAAATCACTAACCCTAGCATGACGAATTGTGAGGCGCAAAGAAAAGCCTCAAATTGTTGCTTACAATGCTTATCGGCGTCGGACACTGGAAAACGCCGAGCTAAGAGTGGGAAGCTTATTCACCCCACCTCCTGAGCGTTCGACCCAAAATGCCAGTGCATCAATATCTTCTCCGGATACCTGAGCAGTATTGCCCGGCGAGGGCCGGAGGCTTGATTTTTGCATCATTGGTAATGGATGCATTTTCCAGGTCATTTTTGCAATTGAATTGTGTGTAATTTCACCCCCAGTTTCACAAATTTCGCATTCACCGTTGAATTGCGTCACTTCATCGAAAGCGTCTTGGTCAACGGAATTGCATCGTGCTGTCCTTGAGCGAAAGTGCCATCATCTCAGCTTCTATTGCACGGAAACTTCTTCCCGCCATCAATGACACTAAAAATGTAAAATAGCTCGCCCTCTCTAAATCCCCAGCACGGCGTCTATCCTGAGCTTGCACTTAAATCCGCTTCGCATCTTCAATGCCGTCAACATCCCCGCGGAGCTTGTCGCCGCCAGTGAATTCGAACACTGTAGCGTATTAGTAACCTGCCCCAGAATACTTGTTCACGTGTCAGAAGGGATGTCCACTTACAGTCAATCGGTGCTGTTGCGAACCTACGCGCCGGAACCTTCTTCTGGAAGAGGTAGTCCAACTCGGCGAAGGTACGGTTCTTCGTCTCCGGGAGGAAGAAGAAGATCCACACAGCCCAGATAAGACAGAAGCCAAAGTACAACATACCCGTCTTGGCACCCCAGTTCCAGGCATCAGCACTATCGTTCAACATGCGAGGGTTGAGTTGCTGAACGGCGATTTGGCCACAAACGTAGATTCCACGTCCAATGACAATCGTCTGAGCTCTGACACGACTGGAAGAGGTTTCGCCAACGATGACATAGCACGTCGGCCCCAAGGACAATTTGAATGTGAGGTTGACGATGATCATTACGACCGCCACTGCAATAGCCACGTTATCTTGGCCTGGGATGAAACCCATAATGCCGATAATCAGCATAGCGGTGCCGATGATCGAAGAGCCATAAAAGTAAAAGGTGCGCCGCCCAATTCTTCCCATCAAGCAGATTGCAATACCCGTGCCGACAATGTTGACCGATTGAATACCCATGCTGTAGTTGAAGGCCTGGACCTCGGGCATGCCGGCAGACTGCAGGAAAATGGTAGCATAAGAGCAAATTGCCTGTCCATTAAGGATTTGAATGATCCAGGCCATACAGACGATGCCAGTGCGTCGTAGGTTTGTGCCTCGAAAGCAGTCGCGATAAGTCGCTCCTTCTGCTTCGATCTTCTCCATCTCGTTGGTATGTTTCATCAGCTCAAGGGATTGAGCCATCGTCTCCTGGGTATAATGATCCTTGCGGGCAAGGCGGCGCAAGGACTTTTCAGCCTCGGCTAGGCGACCACGACGCACCAGGTACCACGGACTTTCCGGGGCCAGGAAACCGACAACGAACAGTGGAACAACCCAGACCCATTGTAGAGCGTATGGGATGCGCCATCCGAGATCGCCAGGCAGGTCGAGCGAACCCCGAAGAACACCTGCAGCCAGGAATGAGCCGCATCCCCAGCACATGGACACCCAAGCGGTGAGGTATCCGCGAAGTGCAGCTGGGCAAATCTCGGCGGCATACGCGGTTGTGAGCGTTTGGAAAATTCCCCAAGGAATACCACAAAGTATGTTTGCTGCAAACAGCATCTGCACATTGACAGCGAAAAACAATGTGAAGATGGTAGCACCCATCAATGCCATGGCACCCATGTAGACTCGTCGAGAGCCGTAGCGTGACTGCAGCCAGCCATTGAGCAAGAGACCAATGATACTACCAAGGTTGTTCCCGTTGCCGATCGCGGCCTGCCACGAGGTAGGGATATGTTGCTTCCCGTTGGCGTCAGGCCACCCGAACTTATTCAGATACGCCTTTTGTCCGAAAAAGTTGTTGATCAAGCCGACGTCCATTCCCTCCATGACTAGAGCCAGACTTAGGAGGGAACTGTAGACGATTGCAGGCCAATACTTCGAAAACAGCTCCTTCCGGGGGAGCTTCGCCTCTTCATCGCTAGCAGCTGATGCCGCCTCGATTAGGGCTACATTTGGTGTGTAAAAGCGGTGTTCATGATGGTCGAAGGCTGTTGTGTCTCCTTTGGCAGCAGACGAGCCCAAAGTTGCGTCTGTCATGTCGACAATGGGGAATGCAGATCAACCACAAATGACAATGAGGGAAGCTGTAGACCATGGCAAGAGGATAGAAACGCTATCAAAGGTGAGATGGAGCATGCAGCTATAAGCAATTCCCATGGTAGCTTCAGTCAGAACAGTTGTTCCCGACAGTCTGGTAATCTTCTTCGCCAAGTCGCCAACCATCTGCCAAGTCGCGTCCACGAATCACCTGCCAACTTTGCGGGGATGGTTCGCCCAATCTTTTGCCGATGTCTGTTGACTGGCCCCCATCCTTCCCCGCATTCCCCATGGGGTTCATGAGGTCTGTCTTTCAGTGGGGCTCACCGGCCTGATCCCCACGGCTCAGCTTCATATCCGCTTCTCGACGGCCATGCGGACTAGGGTATGTAAAGCCACAAGAAAGACAGATGTTGCCCAGATTCGGTCATCGCGTGAGAGAATCCCGAAGTGCGGCCACTAAGACCAATCGGATTTGGCCAAGAGGGACTATTGAAAACCCAGACTCTTCTGCTCACGCCGCGCCTTGCTTGGCAGGATTCCCCAAGAAAGGCCAAGGACCAAAGCGCAAGATGTTAGCACTCAATTGGGCCTTTCTCCGTTGGTGGTTATGGTGACATTATGATTCGCCAACGTAACCGAAACGAACGAACGCTTGTTATGGTTCTTGTGTTCGATTCATTCGCTTACTCTGGTCACGCTTTCCGCGTTAACTCTCAGTCAATCACGCCAAAGCGACCAGGACAGCCAAGAACAGAGTCATCTTGGCTTGAACATCGAGGTGTGCCCCACCTCAACAGCCTTCGGCCACATTCCTTCCGTGCCCCGAGAATACGTCTGAGTCTCAAGGCATGTTACACATAAATGCGTTGGCAGGAAGGTGTTTGGAACCTCACGCCCAGCCATCGATGGGATCGGGCCACCACAGCTTTGTGCAATGAAGATCCTATGGCCTGTTCCGTTGACAATATGAGATTCCATGCCAAATAACACTCTAAACAGTCGTCGTATGGAAATGCTGGACGCCCAACGCCGTCTCGAATGGGCCGTTCGTGCAGGTTCCTCATCCGCCTTAGTCGCGCACGATTATTCCCATCTGCTAAGGCAAACACCGCCTCAGCCACGCATCGGATGAATGAGACCAATACGACAACAGCGTGAAACAGTGCAAGACAGTCCTTTGTTCATTGGCGGGTTAATTGGAAACCTTTACACATAGTCCTGCAGCGACCGAAAGTTAAACGAGCGTAAACACATTGGTATGTAAGGAAGGCGTTTGAAGTGTGTTGACAAGGTTGCAAAACTTCCGAGCGCCTCAGCCCCCTGCTACAATTAAGGATAATACAGCCTATATACTCAAGGCCATGACTTGACTGGTGACCCGTCTGGGGACCAGTTGTACCAACCCATATCTACTTCATCAATGATATTCCACTTGTCGATGAACTCCTTCTTCTTATCCTCCAGGCCTTCCGTGCTTAGGATTTCGTAGACTGTTCTCCAAGCACTGTTGACAGCTCCAATAATCCATGCATGTCCAGAGCTGAGTGCTTCACCGGCAAAGTGCATGTGTCCATTGGCAGCAGGCATCATCAGCCACGGCAGCACACTACTGAACTGGCCTGGCCCGAAGATAGCGAATGCGCCATTCGAGTACGCAGAGCCATACCAGTCATACACGTGGTAGCCCTCGTACTGGGATAGAATGAACTCGTGAGAAACGCCATTTAACTCTGCAAGATCACGCAGGGTAAAGTCGACCAGAGTATTGACACTTTCCGGTTGAGATGGAGCCTGGTTCCCAGGGTTATGCGGGTTGAGATAAGAGCCCAAACGCGATGAGTCTTGGCCCCACACGTACGACGCGATCATTGTCCCGACATTTTCCACGCCTGGAACATCGACCCCATACGACGGATAAACACAGCGGCGGATAGGAAGGTCCGTGAAAGATTGGCCTCCCTTGAATGCGCCAGTGGACAGGTTCTCCCACCTGACGAAGGTCAGTAGACGTTCTGGGGATACCTAAGACATGAAAACACTTACCATCTCGACTTGAACTTGAGGCCAATCTTAGTAGACGGGTCGTACCTGTAGAATGGTTATTGAAAACTGCCGGCGGGATATCCCAGAGTGGAGCAAAATTTGATGGAAAAAGGATGACATACTGCAATGTGCGAATGGCGCTCTTTTGAGAATAGCTCAGGTCGAGCTCCGTTGTGTTGATGATTTGCAGAGCGCCAAGTGGAACGGTCGATATGACATGGGCGTAATCAAACTCTTGAGTACCGTTCACGACGACCTTCAAGGTACCGTCCGAGTTCTTCCTGATGTCCGTTACCTTGTTGTTGAGAATAGGCTTGTTCTTGGCGACAAGAGTCATTCCCTTCGTCAACATGTCCATACCCCCATTAATCAGAGACCAGTTGTTGATGTCTGCACTAGAGAAGATCCACTGCTCAAGAACCGCTTGTGACATTGAGTACATGTCATAATGACCAGTCGCGTCATTCACCGTCTCCAGCCAGTCGATCTCGCTGTTGGTGAAATTTCTGTCCAGCAGAAACTCTCGTGCAGTCATGGAATCATACTGCATCAACAAGTCAAATCCGCTGGTGAAGTCTACAGAAAGTGCATCGGTCAACGTCTTGACTTGGTTAGCCCAGACTTCGGATGCAGATGACGCTTCAAAGGGTTGATTGTCTCCCGGGATGTCAACGTTGTACCGACTGGGAGACGCGGAGTTCGGATCTTGAAGCTGTGCGGTGATGTCGTTAAATCGCCTGAATGTGTTATCAGCCTTAAAAATGTAAGGCTTCTTGACCACTTGGTGTTGCTCCGCTACGCGCTGATTGATGTATGGGATAAGACTCCACGACTTATTTCCGATGACGCGGTCCATGTAGGGCATTGGAGGAAACCTCATTGCTCCCACGTCCTGTGTGTTCCTTAGTGTCAGGTATCCAACTAGGATTGCCCATCAATTGCTCACATAATAGTCGTAGTATGCAGGATCGGCTGATGTAGAGTTGGCCCACGTGTCCTGGTCAAAACGGTACGTATAGATCCTTCCGCCAATGCGATCGGAAACTTCATGGATATCGTACTCGATACCAAGTGAGTCCAACAGAATAGCAGCATATAATCCAGCTGCCCCCGCCCCGATGATTCCAACCTTCAACGGTGTACCCGATGGGGTGGGGACTCTGCTGTGGTTGGTGTAAGCGGAGCTGTCAACGACCTTTCGGAAAAAGGCGGCACGCGGGTTTTCGGCGGCGAGATTGCCATCGTTGCAAACGTTTTTATCGTCTCGACGAACCTGGGACGACTCAGATGCGGGAAAAGCGAATGATGGTGCCAGCAAAAGGGCAGTGACGAGTGTGTGAAGGTTAAGGAGCGGCATTGTGTTTACTGTAAAGAGTGGCTGTCGATTGCTGAACACATTTCTAATGCACCAAATCCCAGGCCACCTGGGTTATACTTATATCATCCTTCGATGCGATGGAATAATCTGGACGCAGGCGGATGAGAGCAACCACGCAAATGTTTACCAACACAACGTACGTTCCGTCCCGCTGTGGTACATCTTACCGGCACATGGTTGACTTGTCTCAGCGGTGTCGACTGTAATTTCAGCTCCCATTCCTCACTGTTACTTCGCCCCTACCTGAATGTTTTGGTGCTGTCTTGTGTTGGAATGTCAACTAGCGCAAAAGATGCAAGCCCCATTTCCACGCGAAAGCCACACATCTCCCAAATCCAACTTTGTTGGATTTAAGTGCTGTTTTGAAGTCTTTGTATCAGCCTCTGACTCTTTTCTATTTCCCCACGTTTTTTGTGCTTATTATTTGAGGTACTCGGAATACGCCTCTTTCCCACGTTGTCCTGATAACCATCTTCTTCATTCTTCTCCCTCCTTAATCAAAGGCACCATACACACAAGCAGTCAAGATTCGGTGATTCACATCTACCTGGATGCGGGTTCTTTGCTCTCGAGACAATCATTTCCACAACGCATGACCCCATCTTCAGTGACGGAAAATCAACGCAAAGAATGTTTCAAACTCTTCTGATCAAACGCCTTGAGCAATCCAGGCCTTCAATGCCACGGCCAACCACTGAAGGTCTCACTGGCAAGTCAGGGGCTGCCTGTTTTCCTTCCGACAAGGCAAGTGACTGCGTGGGTGAGATTGGCGGCTTCATGTTTACCCCTAGACGGTGCTGTTTCTTCCATGGCAACGAAACGAGCGTTTTCTCGTCAGAAGTCGCCCTGCAGTAGCAAATCAAGAATTTTCACGCGGCTAAGCATATCTTCAAACAGGAGAAGCAAACCCAAATCATTTGCCTGTGGAACATGGTTGACAATTCACAATTCCCATATCTGGATTCTCGACCTGCGTACTTTTTTATACAGTATACACTCTCTGTAGATCGTCTAGTTTAACCAACCACTGGGACCGGCCCAGGTACCCTTGACCATGTTGTTGTAGTAAACCCATGGGAAGAAGTCCTTCTTCAAGTAGTAGAAGGCACGGCGAGGCACTGCCTGATCAAAACCAATCAAGTCGCCGAAGGTCTCTTTGGGCACTCCACCATACTTGAACTCAGCCAGCAGAACCTTGCCATACTCAGTAGTGAGCGGGCACGAAGTGTAGCCATCGTACTTGGGCTCGGGCTCCTTGCCCTCAATAGCCCGTAACAGGTTGCTGACCAGAACTGGGGCCTGCGATGTCACCGCTGCCGCAGTCTTGGACGTGGGCAAGCTGGAGGCATCGCCAGACGACCAGACATTGTGGTACTTGGTGTGGCGGGTAGTAGCTTGGTCGACTTCAACGAAACCAGCCGCATCGGCCAGAGGACTGTTCTTAACGAAAGCATGAGGGCCCATCTTGGGCACCACGTGCAACAGGTCAAACGGCCTAGTGATTTGGTTTCCATCAGGCCGAGCAAATACCGCAGTGTTGCCATCGACGGCAACCAGGTCATGCTGGAAAAGGCCCTCGACTCCTCTCTCCTTCCTCAACTCTTCGAGCTTGGCGCTGTACTTCGGGACACCGAACATGGCAGGGATACCGGTGGCAAAGCTGATTTTGATCGGCGATGCAGTGTTGCTGGGGTCGTACAGGCCGGCCCGCTTCCAGAAATCCAAAGCAAGCCACATGACCTTCTGCGGGGCACCGGCGCACTTAATGGCACCGGCCGGCTGCGTGAAGATGGCATTGCCCTTTTCAAGTCTCTGAATGGTGTTGAACACCTTGTCGCAAGTTTCATAGCCATATATGGTCGAGACAAGCGAGTTCGGGTTGGCAAGGGCTTCAGGGAGACCCTTGATGCTTCCATAATCAATCTTGATACCAGGAGCCACAACAAGCTGCTCATATCCCAGTCTATCGCCATTGCCCAGCTCAATGGTGTTCTCTTCCGGGTTGAACGTGCTGACGCTCTGCTGGTAGAGCTTGAGCTTCGGGTCAACCAAGCTCTCGAGAGGACGTTTCAAGTCCTCCTTGTTCTTGAGGCCACCGCCAATAAGAGTCCATCCGGGCTGGTAGTGGTGCCACGTAGCAGGGTCAACAACGGCGATGTCATCCTGAGAGAACTTTCCGGTGTTGAGGAGTTGGTGACTAATGGCCAGACCAGCACTGCCGCCACCAACTACAACAACTTTGTGGCTTCGGGAGGGGGGAACCACGGGGGCAAGCTTCACTGGAGTGGGCTTCTCGGGAGAGGCCTTCTCGGGGCTAGCTGCGGCGGCGGCGGCGGGCGCAGCCTTATCTTGGTTAGGAGAAGCAGCGGTCTTCTCAGCAGGGGCAGAAGCTGTCTTCTCGGAGGATGCTGCTGGAGCCGGCGTTTTCTCAGGAGTTGGTGCGGAAGGAGTGGTGGCTTTCTCCGCAGGCTTTGCAGCGGTAGCCGGCTTCTGGGGAGTTGAGGCCTTCTCAGCTGATGTCTTTTCGGGAGAAGCTCTAGCAGCAGTCTTGGACGCGAACCCACGCATCACGGGGACGTTGCGGGCTGCCATACCGGCGCGGCAGGCATGGCGAGCCGCGGATGTCACGCGCGTCGAAAACATTGTTGGCGCCTGAGGTAGAGTTGCGGTTGCGATGAGGTTGCGGAAGGAGCGGTTGAAAAGATGGCGCAAGACGACGACGATGGTGATGAGCGGCGTAGAAAAAAACCGGGGTCCAGTAGCCTGGAGAAACAGAAAACGCCGCACCGACGATCACATAACGGTGTGGCAGGTGGGCTGATCTCCATTTATTCCTGTCGCAATTGGCCAATGGCGCAACGTGGGTGGGCTGCCGCCCCGACTGCCGACAGCCGGCCGCACATGCCGGCGAGAACTGCCTCACCTCCCCGACGGTGACGTGATGTTGTGCTTCGGGAACCACTCCGGTCGTCCGGCTGGTCGGCGAGCTGGTCGCCGAATGAATCTGCAGATCCCCGACCGGCACGCGGAGCGGCGGAACGTTGTGGAGCTCGTCGTCCGATATCCAACTCCCTTCATAAAAAGTTCCACATTCGCGTCACCGTCCATCTACCAGCTGAAGTATTTTTCACGACACAACGGCTCCGTGAAATTCTTCTCCACAACTCGTCTGTCCAACCCATCATGCAAGCTTTCCGGCCACATGTGCGTCTCACCTCCTCAACTGCTGGTCAGGCATCTCGATCTCTCATACGACCCTTTGAACGCCTTGGCGTGTTGCGACAACGACTCTTATACCACGCATCATGCGCTCCTCACTCTCCACGAACACCAATCACCGGCGCATCCGATAGAGCGTTGTTGAACTCTATGAAGACACGCAGAACACTGTCTACTATCCCTGAGGGTGGCGTCAAACAGTCATCGACCTTCGGTGACAAGGGCCATAGTGCCCAAACCCCTGCCCAGGGACAACCCGTGATTCACGACCTATTCGAAACCAAAACCGGCACATGGCAATACATCGTCGCTGATCCCTCGACACGAGAGGCTGTTGTGATCGACCCAGTCTTGGACTATGATCGAGAAACGCAGGTCATAAGCACAGTCGCTGCAGACCAAATGCTGTCATTGGCCAAAAGCCAGGACTACACGATTGTCAGAATTCTTGAAACTCATGCACATGCTGACCATCTCACTGCCGCGTCATACCTCCAGCATCGCTTGGGGTCAGAGCATGGGCTTAAGCCGACTGTCGGTATCGGAAGACGAATCGGTCAGGTTCAATCACTCTTCGGTCAAAGATACGGGGTTCCTCAAGATGAACGTCAAGGGGCGTTTGATACGTTGTTTGAAGACGACGAAGTTTTCAGCATTGGTAACCTTCAAGCCATTGCTCTGCATCTCCCCGGCCATACCCCTGACCATCTGGGCTACAAGATTGGAGGTAAGATCATTCGGCGGCCTCGAGTCCCTCTGGGTTTTGCTGATCTCACTTTCAGATAACGTTTTCTGTGGTGATTCTCTATTCCACGTGGACATTGGCACCGCTCGGTGTGACTTTCCAGGTGGCAGCGCCAAAAACCTTTATTATTCGGGCCGCAGGCTTCTAAGTTTGCCTGACCACGTCAAAATTTGGACCGGCCATGACTATCCACCTGAGGGTCGCGTTGATCCCGTGCCTTGGATGACAGTTCAGGAACACCGAGCACAGAATAAACATTTGAGGGATGGCATCACCGAAGAGGAGTTTGTGGCTGAGCGGAAAAAGCGTGATGCCAGCCTTGGGGAACCAAAGCTGCTACATCAATCACTACAGACCAACATCAGAGCTGGACGCCTTCCGACGCCCACGGAATCAGGGCATCGGATGCTACGGTTACCTCTAAAGCTTGGGGGTGTGCAGTGGTGAAAATTTCTCGGGGCACAAAACGCTGGTAAGGTCTGGTCAAAACTTGGGTGTTTTTCCCTGTTTTGCCCTGTTTTTGTTTTTTCCCTTTTGGTTCTTTTTTCTTTTTTCCCGTAGATGCTTTTGCGTATAATGATTGATTGGTTTTTGCTAGGTTGGTGATCGTAACCCCAGCTGCCCATCGAGTCAAGTATTCCAAGGAATTCAATTGGTTGAAGCAAAGAAGACGAGCACAAAGAATAATTTCTCATGGGTGATTTTAGTACTCAGGCTACTAAAGTTTGGTGGTAAAGATGGCAGACATCGCAACGTGCGATGATCGTGGCGTAATGCGTAAGACCTTATTGCACAGGAGTTTCTGCCCCTGGTGCCTGGACTTATTCGACTTCCAGAAGAGCCACCGACCTTTTGGTTGGCCCTGCCTCGAACCACGGGGATGGGCACGCACAAAGAGCTTCGATGGGATGAGTGCCCTCGGCAAATATCGGGCACAGTCTGACACGTGCTTGACACGAGAACTGTGTAAGAGAGGGTCCATCCACGGTGAAACGTTGTCTGCCAAGTGGAAAAGGGGGAGGGAGATCATCAAGCTCAACGTCATGGAGGGTCGAATCTTCCCAAAATTTTCAAAGAGAGTTTTCATGCTTCTTCACTGTGACTTCCATTATTTGTTTCGCAGCGCCAATTTATAATTCCCTGATTGAATTCTTGCCTTACATGACGAGCATCAATTTCTGCCCCGCAAACCCGAAGCGCAACCGCGCACGCCGTTTCCTCGGTGATTACGAGTCCAAATGCAGTGCATGTCAAAGCTGTAACTCACAAGTCATATACTGCAAGTGAAATCAAGGCCAAGGAATGGCCAGTGTTATGAACACGAAGTTCGTCTCACCAACGGCCCTACCAACAGACGCGGACACGTCCGTGAGCTGGGAGAATGAACAGAGCCGCTCACCTTTTTATCAAATCATCTGTCACAGATTTCGATCCGGCTACCCGAAACAAACTTTTGTCCATGCGCTGCCGATTTGCTAAAGCTCAGTTTTGGCCCCTCTCTCCGGCGCATCCGTTTCACATGCCGGTCCAGACATCAGATGAGAACTGATCCCACACAAAGAAACTCAGTCATCATCCATGCGCCGGCTAGATTGCCGGGGGATGGAACCTCATCAACATCGGATTGAGCCAGCGATCCTCGAGTAGGAATGAGGGGACACGTCATGCTCACTCCAGACGCCCAGGCGAATGTCCGCCCAGAGATTTCAGTGTGTGGGAACAAAACCCCTCTCGTCCGCTCTTTGACACTTTCATCGTCAAACCACACGCACGAATTACTCGGGGAACCATACAAAGACCGATGCAGACTGGGCGAAGTTGGCACGAAGGGTGACTCGCGTTTTCCAATGCCTGCTGGTCAGCCCTAATTGCGCGCTCTCCCCAAGTAATTGATCGACCTCGAATACCAGCGTCCCGCCTCTAGAACAACTTGACGGTCGAATTATCCTCGAGAGACGAGAAACCCTCGGCGTACTTGAATGGGATCAGTCTACTAATGAGCCGGAATTATGACGCTGCGACGATTCCAGTGCTGTCGCCAAGATCGTCGCCGAACGCTCCTCCCCCGCAAACGGCCGCGCGAATTTATCCCGTCTTGTCGCTGATTTCAGTAATTCTTTTGTTCCTTTCTGCTGGAGCTGGTATTGCTCTGTCTGCAGTGGTGCTGTTTCGGAACTTTGAATCGATTGAAGTTCTGGATCCTTTGAGCCGAGCTGTTTTCTTCGTGGCCTCCTGTATGAGTCTCGCATACGTGCTCACACACATCATCGCTGCCAGAACTGCGTACATCAAAAATAATGGATCTCCAAAGGCATACGGGAAATACATTGCAGGCTTGGCGTTCTTACTCGCTCGACTGGGTCTTCCGGTTTGGGTTGCGGCAGTCACCCTTGCGATAATCGTTGCGGTAAACATTGGATTGGATGTGTCGAAAGGGATTCAGGAAAACCTCCCATGGTTGGATGTCATAATCAGCGTGGTTTCTCTGTAAGTCACCACTACCGTTGTCGAACCACTCGTATCGGACGTCTGTGCTAACAGCCAGACAGCCTGTCATTGATTGCAATACTTGCAGTCATTGAGATGGCTGAAAGACCATTTGCAACGATGGGTCTCTCGCAGCCTTGGTTCGTCCGTGGAGAACATCCTTTTACTGCTCCAGACGAGGAAGACATTGACTATGGGCTTGTTGAAGTTGTATCTATGGTGAAGGATGTCAAGCTGCCGCCAACTGCCAAGCAGATCAAAGCAAGGAAGATGTTGTCAACTATCCAGGAAAAGAAGGAGAAAAAGCCTGAAAAGAGGAAACGGAAGACGTTGACGAAGAAGAATCCTTACGAAGTTCAGCTGCAACGACAACAGCAGCAGCAGCAGCAGCAGCAAGAACAACACCGAACTCTGTAAGTTGCATGATCAGCCACTATGACGCGGGAGTCTAACCAAACTGCCCAGACGCCATGCGAGGAGTATGTCCATGCCGACTCCGCTCAACGCTGTGTTCGGCGACAGCCCGGAGCCTCGGCTGACAGACTCGCCTGGTTTGCACACCGCGTTTGCGTGGAAACCACCCACTAGAGAGGGCACTCCACGTGCTGCGGGAGCTGTGACATTCGAGGACCTCGGAGCATGGAGAGATCGAGTCAGTCTATATCATACGGCGTCGGACATTTCTACCAGCGCCTCTGCGCCATCTGACGATATCGTTCTTCCATCGATGCCCCGCCAAGCCCATTATTCTCCGCACAGTCAAGCCTCGCTGCTTGAACAACAGCAGAAATACGACTTGAGGCGATGGACAGCGATTGGTATGCAATCCCCTCCATTTGATGGTGGCTTCTTGGATGTTCCCTTCAGGAGACCTCGTCCTCTCATGACAATGGAGGATGAGCACAGGATGCTAGGAAGGAGGCCTTCGACACGAGACGGAGATTGGGAGGCAAATTACCACCTGAGAATGCATCAGAACAGTCGACCTTCGAGTTCACATACGTCGAGAACGGGCGGATCATCCATGACCTCCCGGACTGGATTTACAATACGAGACGAGCCTCCATCGCTTCCACCGATTGCCACTGTCTCCTCTCTGGTAATTGCGAGCACTATGAACGAAGTTAACAAAACGAATACGAACAGTATTCGACCTGACAGTGACGTACTGCCAAACGAAGGACGCCGACGCCGGAGGCTTTCCAATGTGAGCGACAAGCGGCGTCAGACGTACAGAACGGACAGCCGGTCACTGTCACAAACTTACCGCCCATCCAGCCGATACGTTTCTACCATTTCACAAGAAACCCGGCCAACAAGTCCAACAATGACGATTAGGTCTACCAGATCGGGAAAATCTGACATTCATAATTTCTCACGACCTCGAACTTCAGCAGCTGCAAGAATGCAATCAAAGGTGGCAAAACGGTTGCGAGCCATGAAGAATCAGCAGCAACGTCAGGAGCAACAATTGGTTCTGTCAGTCACACGCCACTCTGTGGGAGAGGAGACTTCCTCCTCCCCAAGTTCGCCAGGGACCCCGAACACACCTCGGACTGTGAGAGCAGCGGCAGTGAAGACTTTGCAGGAGAGACTTGGCCGAAGAAATCAGCAACAACTTCCAACTGATGGGGACCAAAGGCCGCCTTCACCAGAAACCCCACGAACGGCAAGGGCTACTGCTGTGAGAACTCTTCAAGAGAGGCTGGGCAAGAGAATGATGCGGCGTAATGAGGCAGAAGCCGGGCAACTACAACGTGTATAATTTGTCACGAATTATAATGACATAGAACTGTACTATTATTGTTATCATTGGTAATAAACAAAAATTCGATTGATCAATGCTGCTGGCAAGTCACTTTACGCACATGACCAGACGTTGACTTGCAAGTACGACGACACTGATGACGTTCTTAGGCCTGTCAATATCCACGACGGAACGTTTGATATATCTCTGTCTGTTTTTGCGTCTTATCTTTAATTGCATTGCTTGTCCCATGCATGCTTTCGCTAACACGCTCAACAGCCTCCAGGGCCTTCATGATATCCAACGTAAACCCTGCAATGAAACTGATACAGACCCGAACCAATGAGAGTCGACGCAGAAAAAGGAAATGCTGCAGGGGAAGAGACTTGCTCTTCATATGCGGTCACAGACCACTCCTGCCAGACCCCGCGATAGTAGCACTACTCGCGCTGGTTGTAGTACTCTCTCTCTTCCAATGACGCTTTTTCTCTCTCGCTGGTGTAGTTCCTGTTCCATAAGGCGGTCTCAAGTTTTTCATACACAACGTCCACACCCTCTACCACTTCGTCATCGACCTCACGATCTTCAGCAAGCTTCCACCCGGCCCGAGCAAAGCGTCGACGAGCCTTGTTGTTCATACCAACAATACGCAAAGCCATTTGTTTTCCCACGTATTGTTTTACCTCCTCTTTCAACTCAGCCAGTGTTTGAACCCCGGTGACGTCAACAAAGGGCACATGCGTGAGGTCCCACACCATCACCGTCATCTGCTTGGTCGACGGTATCACATTGTTACGCTTCCGCAGCATCTCAATGCGCTTGGCCGATGCAACACTCCATGACCTATCGGATGACCTTTTCTCTTGTTGCTCAGCCGTCATCCCTGGTTCAAATTGAACTTTGACAGACTCAATGACGGACTTCTTAACACGGCCTGCGTTGGGGAAGAAGATGGAGTCGGTAAAGCTGATAAGCATAGCGTCGTCGGGTACGAAGGCGTCCTCGGGAGCTGACGCTGGTGCTTTCATAGTTCGTGGGACCATGTTGCTCTTACCACTCGTCGGGGAGAATGTCTTGACTTTCGGAAAAGCTGATCGAACAAGGGTGTACCCGATACTAAATACGACCGCGAACGCAATGCCCATTTCGGTGGAAACAAATAGAGTAACCCAGAACGACAACATAGAGGCGACGAAGTCAGGAAAGGACATGCGCCAGTATCGATAAAATAGGGATGCCGGACCGATGATGTGAATGACAGCCATAATCTATGGCGCTTCTTGTTAGCAGGCTCCCAAAAGGAACAGAAAAGAGTGAACCACATACAATGATTGCGGATAGAGTCGCCTTCGGAATCCAGAATAGTGCCCCAGACAGCTTGTAAAGCGTCAAGAGAATAAAGCCAGCCGTAAAAGCACCACTCATAGGGCTCTTCACTCCACATTCCGAGTTCACTGCCGTTCTTGACATGGCTCCTCCGACGCTCATAGCACCGAACAGACTGTTGATTGTGTTTGTTACCCCAAGGTAGCATAGTTCCTGACTTTCATCAATGGCATAGTCGTTCTTCCGCCCAAACGCTTTTCCAATCGCCAGATGCTCTAGAGCCGAGGCTACTAGGGGTGCGATTGCTCGTGTCGTGACCTTGGAAACCAGGTTGGCGGCGGGCATTCTTGGTGCTCGAAGCCCATTTGCCTTCACTTTGCTGATTGCCCAGAGAGGCGTCTTCTTATCTTTGTTCACGACGAAACTGATTGTCGTAAAAATGAAAAGAATAATGACGGCACGGCTGCTGCAGATGAATTTGAGGACAGCACTTCTTTTTCCCCAACGCTTGCCAATGAACTCCAAAGCGTATAGTAGTATAATGCCGCTGAATCCAATGGCTATGGTGAGAGGTTCCATCTCAGGGATGCGACTGAACACGTTGTTGATGATGCTGGCAGTGCCGGACGGGACATCGCTGAGGCCAACCAGAGATCCGACTTGGCCGAGAAGAATGGTGAGAGCCGCAGCTGATAGGAAACCAGACAGGACTGGAACTGAAATGTAATCGAGAACAAACCCAAGCTTCAGCAGTCCCACCATCAGGGAGTATATGCCTACCATCAAGGCCACAGCGGATGAGATGTCCTCGGGTGCGAAGCCTTCTGACTTGAGATCTCCGATGATTTCTGCAGTGAGCAGGCCCATGATAGACGTTGGCCCCGTGGATAGATCTGTCATGTGAACCTGTTAGCTCAGATACAAGCTAGGGGGCGGGTTTGGCCTTACCCTTTGATGTGCCCATGAACACGTAAATCGCTGCTGGAAGCCAACTGGAGTACAGACCGAACTCTCCAGGAATGGTGGCGATCTTGGCGTAAGCAAGCGCTTGGGGGATCATCATGACCCCAATGGTCATACCAGCAATGAAGTCTGATAGAATCCATTTTGGGTCATATTGAGTGATCCATTGTACAATGGGGACTTTCTCAATGAGGTATTGACCAGTTGCTGAAGGAATTCGGGGCAGTGCGGCGCCGGCCTTTCTCCTTATGGTGTTAATGGTACTGTCTGTCCCGAAATCAGACTTGGCCTTTTCAATAAATTTCATGATGAGGTTCGACTGAGACTCTGTACAAAGGATTGAATTTTTCAAAGGCCATGGAAATGATGAGTAGTTATCCAAGCGCCTGCGGAAATCCTTTGGGCTATCTTTGCGCCGTGGCATAGATCCTCTTTATCTGATCTCCTGTCTCAAGGCGGGTTTCTTGCCGCGCGCTCAGACACGCTGACTTAGCTGATAGAAGCCGAGAACGACTTCCTAGAAGGGCAGCGCATTGGGATGACTGATCTCATGCATTAGACTTTAGAGTGCCAGCTGCGGCGAACCGACGGCAAGGGCATCCCCCGTTCTCAACGTCGTTCCTACGCTGCAAGATTAAAATAACAAGTTGTGAGTCTCTAACTTGGCTCATCTGTCCTATCATTGGTCTGCAGCCTGACCTAGATAGATGCCGCCCTTACCTATTTCTTACAGCGAATGAGGCTTAGGTCGCGCGAGAGAAAGGAATATCAACCGCGGGATCTTGGTTATCTGGCCCCGAATCAGACCCGTCTTCGAATACTGTGTCAGGTCTCGGCACTTGGTTTATTCGAGATATTCTATCCGGTGTTCCTATACTGTCGATATTACCTGCTCATGGGTGATCGCTTAGGACTAGCTCTTAACGAAGACCAATCGATGAGTAGTTTGGGTATTCCCTGCACGGGGGCAACCGAACGGTATAAGCCGTGGTGCTATACAGGATGACTCTGACTCAAAAGAGAGGGCTTAACTGGTTCAAGCTTCAGATGAAACAGGGTGCCCCGGCCATGAGGTAAGATAGCGGGACACTGCGCCCACTTCTTCAAGAGGTCCACGCCAAAGAAACATGTCGGACCGGGAGCACTGCAAACATGGCGGGGTATCTTTCAGCTGGTGTGAATCAATGATGTCAAGGTACGACCGTTGTTGTTGTTGGAAGTCTTACTTCCGAGTGTGATGCCCCGGTACTTGGGGCCATATTGCCTTCCCGAACAACTTGAGACGGGATCAACATCATTATTTTTGGACATTCTCGGCAATCAACCAAAACATCGTTCACTAACCAGGTGCCTGTTGAACGACACACAAATAGGTTTTAAAAGGAATGGGCTATGACTCTCTTGACGTACTATCGATCAGTTTTGATACATGACAACACCGAAAATAGGACAGTCTGGCGGCAACTGGGTTGCGATTATCTGCCCAAGATTAAGTATGGCATAGCAAGCGGTGAACTAGATACTAGACAAGACGGGGCAGCAAAATGGAACTTTGGCAAATCTCACAGTCCTTCATGTAGCATGACTGCACTAGAAAAGGGAAGCCTTCATTTCGCTTCCACTTGAACGTGGCTGCTACGTTCAGTCACTTTGCGTATGCACGAGAGCATCTGTCACCAGCCTCATTCTTAATTATCAGCCAAAGCTTTTTTATCTCAATTGCCTAGGAATTTTCGTCCTACGCAACGTGGACAGATTAACTCAGTTTTGGCTGGTACGTGCGAGGGTGCGTCCCGAACGAACTCCAGAACACCGAAGAACGCCGTTTGGCTGAGATCCTCCAGGGTTTGACAGCTATCCTAAGCAGGGCCAATTGGATCTTGCGGGTAGCAGCCTGGGTGACTGATCTCAAACTCAGCTATTGTAGGAGACGAGTGACAGCATTGCGACATAGATATCATCCGAGACTTTTATCGAGCATAAAAGCTTTCAGCAGATAGGGGTCGGAATACTACGTTATGGAGGCTGGTCCCTTGCCCATATATCCGCCGCGAAAAGAGAGCCGACTGGGATGTTCACTTTGGGATGGGAAAGGCGTGCTCTTGCTGCGCCTCGATGTCTGAGCGAGTTGCCTCGCTGGAGGGTCGATTTTACTGGTGCCATCAGACAATGCAGAATCAATTGCTACCACGGCAAATACAGTGTAACACTTCTAGACAGCCTCAGGGGCGCAGAGGAACGCTATACGGCATGGCTGCACCGACGTTGAAATTCTCTTGATCTGGATTCACGGGTACTAAAAGACTTGGCTATGCCAAGCGACCAGGTATTGATCTTTGCGCGTCAGTCGGATTTCCCTGCGCATAATGTTTGCTTGCTTCCCCTGATCTGCCCCTCTTGTTGAAACATTTCCGCATCCTTTCAGCTGCGGGACCTAAAATCCCCATGGTGCGGTGGACAATAGGCTACGGGCGATCGTCCTTAAGCGCCGCTAACACAACGCGGGGATTCAACATGGTGAAGCTGGAAGGTGTCACCCTAGGCTCAGCAGCCAGGCCAGGCCAGGCCAGTGTGCGACTGGCAGCTATCGCTGCAGGTTTTCGGTGACAAGGATGTCCATTGTAAGTTGGCGTTTCGCATGAGAAAAATATATGATTCAGCTCATATTGTCGTGGCTAATGTTGACGAGCCGAGTTGAAGCGTGTCGTGCTGCCGCAAGGATCAAAATACTGGTGGAATGTGGGGGAGGTCGCGGCTTTGGTGAGTGAGTCTCTACGAAGTGTCATGAGGGGTTACCTCTAGTGCCAGTGGGGCGATGTGACTAGGCGCAGAGGCGGTGAAGAAGCGTAAGACACGGCCCGAGTGCGATGGACTCGTGGCGACGTCTGCGTAAATGCGCACATTCCGCCTTGTTCTTTGCATTTATCCCTTCTATACTTATCCATCCTCGTTCGATTCATTCGATTCTGATTCCACCTGAATTGCATGAAATGCATCCGTCCACGGTGCAACGGTCTCTCCACAAGCCTCTCGTCCTACATGTGAACCACATTTGGGAGCGGCGCGACTGAAATGACATCATGCCGCAAGGGTTGAAATGCTCGATTGATTGGCAATCGGCTGGGTCATTTTCACAGCCTAGGCTCTGCATCTTGAATTCGTATGGCAATCCGCCAAAAAAGGCCTGCGCTGCAAGGCCTCTAGCTCAGTCGCCCAGCACTCATACCTCGGAGTGGACACAAACCGCGTCAGTTGCTGGACCACAGATCGTGATCCCGATCTCATCGCCCCGTGTCTTGCCATGACGCAGGAGCGTCACGTGAGCGGGCGGGTCACCGAGCCAATCACACGAGGGCAAGATGCTGCGACCAACTCGCTACCTTGGTGTTCTGCCGTGCTGCCTTCTCTGTCGTCACCTCAGCAGTCTTCCTTCGGGATTCATTGATAAATTGACATGATGGAATTGATGGCTTTCTCGTCTGCCAATCATCCGTCCAACAATCGCAACATTTGAGGACCATGTCGCGAAAATTAGCACCGTTGCTCCCAGCCATCGACAGTTCGGGGTTATCGCCTTTCGACATTTCGCGCGAAGATCAAGCCAAGAGGAAACGCGTCGGTACAGACATTGCCTGCAATCCATGTCGTAAAAGAAAGACTCGCGTGAGCTGGGAATTGTCGTTCATCCTTCATAGTCGCTGCTAATCCTTCGTGGCGTTGATGTTGTAGTGTGATGGATTGCGTCCAGCCTGCCAGGCATGTCTCAAACGATCAACCGAATGCATATACGTCGAAAAGAAGGAAGGAACGAAGACCGAGCAGTCGCCCGAGGTCCTTCAAGAGCTCTTCGATCTCATGAGAAGTGTTCCAGAGGATCAGGCTCTGCAAATACTCTGGTCACTGAGGTCCAATGATGACCTGGCTTCGGTTCTTACTGCCGCAAAGGCCGGCGTGCGCAAAAAGGCGCTTCTTCCCGATCAACCCTCGATGAGATCGAAGCTGCCCCAAGAGTCATCTTTGGAGCTGGAGCTGATGGTCAAGAACCCAACGGCGTACCCAACACCCAAATCGTCTCTCACGGCATCGGAACGTGCTGGCCTGCTCGGTCCCAAAAGGCTCCGCCGGTCAAAGTCCCTAGACCACCAGTATGTATGTCCCGTCGTGCTCCAATCTGCTGTTAGGCAGCTTCTTATGAGGCTGACGTTCCCACCGATCCCACATGAACCTAAGTCCTGAGCCACACGGCAATCTGGCGTCCGTCAATAGTACGATCATTGGGCCCGTGAATGGCTCGTTCGGTCGTCGGTATGATCCTATTCATCTGAATGGACGTTCAGATTCAGGCTCGGCCCAACGAGCCTCTCCTGACCTATGCGATCCCCGCCTCCACCATCTTAAAATCAGCTTCTGGACGGACGTGCCTATCACAGACGACTTTGCGAAACAAGTGATATCCTTGTACATGATGACAGACCATCCTTTGTTAGGCGTCTTCGACCCGAGTCTGTTTATTACCGACCTTGTAGACCAGAAAGATACACACTGTTCTTCTCTTCTTGTAAACTCGTTGATGTATTGGGGATGTGTAAGTAAAAGGGGCTCGATTCCTGTCTAAAACTCGCCGAAGAGTTACTAACAGTGGATGGATGGAAACTTAGCAAATGTATACTGCCATTGAGAAGAATGCAAATAAACTTGCAGAATCGTTCTGCAAAGAAGCAGAAAGGTTGTGGTTAATCCAGAAGAATAATGATTCACTTCTCAACACGGCCAGCGCCCAGCTGCTGAGTCTTGCTTACTTGGGACATGGGAAGGATCATTACGTACTCAAATATCTTTCCACTGCTCTGCGTATGGGCACTCGCATGTCCCTTTTCGGAGTCGACGCACCGCAAGCAATAAACAACATCAAACGGTTGTCACCTGAGATGCAAAGAGCAAGCTCATTCACCGCATGGGGGGTGTTTAATTGGGGAGTGTGCGTTTGTCTTTGCCCCGAATTGCCTTAATCCCAGCAGCTAACAATGTAGACTCATGGCCCTATTTTATCAGCAACCCGGGCTGGAGTACCCTGGTCATCCGCCAGTACTTCCAATTCCAGGGGTTCTAAGATCGGATTCTCCTAGCCCTGGATCGAGTAGCTTGAGTGCCGATCCTTCGGAGGCACTACCTCCATACATGGGCAGCACCTTTTCTACACTGTGTCAGTTCTGGCGCATCCTTCACGGCGTCACATTATCCTACTATAAGGACAAGCCGACTTCGTTGCCCGAGCACGCGTCGATCGACTTTGCGGAGTTCAAATACCGAGAGCTCTTGGCGTGGATAGAAGCACTACCATCTGACCAGGCCTTGAAAGATCATTCCCCTCACCATGTTGTTGTCTTGCAGTAGGAGCACTACTTTATTCCACATCTTTTGCGGTGTTACTGACGATTGTTCACTAGCATTTGGTTCCATGCCGCCATTCTCGACCTCTTCCGACCCTTCCTACAGAGCACCGCTCGCGAACGACAGCGTCTCAAGACATTTTCTGCCCGCCGCAGCTACCCTGAAGCAGCATTCAACGCCTCTGTCAATCAGTTGAAGCAACTTGTTGTGAGGTATCGGTGTAATTACGAGTCTTCCGCATACACAATGCTCTGGCAGACGGCCTTGATATACGTGGCAAACGCGGTACTTCACAATACTGAGGATCCCGAGTGGCGACTTTATTTTCTGGCTTGCATATACGGATACGAGGGTTTGAGAACATCATACCGGGTTGCCGAAGTCATCTCTCGAGGACTTTTAACCATGTCGCTCCAAGAAGGCGACATGTCTGGCAGCGAGGCACGGTATTTGCTCAAGCAAGTCACCGAACCTGAAGGCGCCGGCGGCAAGGGCGATGTGAGGGCTACCTTTATGGCAGATCTTGACTTAGCGATGACTGATCCTGAGGCGGCGAAGGTGGAGAATTTGGCCAGAAGATTCGAAGATGTGGCTTTATTTAGCGACTTCACGACCATGGACGATGAAGAGGCACGGCGGTTCCAACGGATAGAAACACCAGATGGTGCGGAGTGAAACACGTCTCCATTAACATTATCATTTCAGCTTACTCTGGCTGACCAATTGCTTCCCCAATTCTTCGCTTCTAAATATGTGCAAGAAAGACCCAAACGCTGTGGTTGTTCCAGCCAACCTTCTCAGTCCTAAAACCTACGACTTTTGATTAGGTAACGCCCGGATGGGGAATACAACGGGATACTTACGAAAAGCTTTCATTATAGAACCAGACCTCCTCAGCTGCGGCCTTTCCTTGCATGATGCGTTGTTGTGCAGTTGCAGCGCATTGTCTTAAATCAAAGACCATAGATGATGGTCCACAGACGACCATGCCCACTGTCCCTTGCTTCTCGGTTATTGCTTGCGCAATCAATGGAATGCTCGGCCGTCCTTCTAGGGTTTGAACATTGATCGGACCCGTGGTAACACTCCCTTTCGTCGAGACGACCGTTGAGTGATCCATGACTTCCTTATCATTTGGCGTTCCGGGTTCGGACGCGGAGGGTAAAGTTTGGCTTGACGGGCTTGTCTCATGAATCTTGACAGCCACACGCATCGCCTTGGTATCTTCCGTCGCAGCATGCCGTTCGGCAATATCGTTCAATGCTTGGCAGTACCACTCTCGGAAACCAGGATCTCTTGAAGCCACAACCACCTGGAGTTCCGATCCGACGTCATGTCTTTCCATGAAGTGTTCGATCATTGGCAATGAGAATCCAGCACCGGCTCCACCAGCAACAACCAGTGTTCTGTCAAAGCCTTTGAACCATCTATTGGTCACCCCTCCGTAAGGTCCGTCGAGAAGAACAGGTACTGACATGTCAGGAGATTTCTCTGCAAGCTTAGCCAATCTGCCAGTTATTCCGCCTCTGGGTTGCAAGTAAAAGATCATTTGACTGTGTTTACCACGCTGAGGAACCGAAGAGATAGTAAAAGGGTGCGCGGTGAGTGCATGGAGGCCGCATGTTAGGAAGCGGAGGTACACGTGCTGTCCAGGGGTCCACCTGGTGTTGGTCTCAATGGTGACCATAAGAGAGTCTGGTGTAGCCATAGAAATCCGTGCACAGCTGACCCCATGTTCCATGAAGGTCTTGAACTGCGAATAGAACCAGGAGAGCGAATAGAGGACGGCAGTGGCAATGAAATAGTCCCAGGACGTAAGACGGAAATCGCAATGAATGAAGAAGAAGATAAAAAAGACCGCAGCAGCGAAGAGATGTGTCGCCTTGAAGAATTCGTAATACCGGTCGCTTTGGTGGCGTCCACGGGTTAGCCTCACTCCCAAAAGAATCCAACAACCCAGTCAACAATAACTTACCGGACCCAACGAATGGACATGAAAGTTAACCATGCCTGCGCTATTAGGGCAACAACACCGGTAACCCATATTCCTCCATCATTGAATGACTTCACAATGTCCCCCTTCCAGATATGAAACACGATGAACGGGAACGTATGAACAAGGGCGAGAGCGAACATGGCCCATGCAACCCAGTTATGCCATAGATTAAGCTTCTCGTGTGATATTCCGGTAAGGGTCGAAATCGGGTTTGCTTTGGCGCCAAGAATGCTACAGCTGTTAGCCTTGCTTGGCCACATCTTGTACTCGAGATCACCTACAAGAGGAACGGCATACACGCCAGTGCCATGTATCCGGCTCGCGTGGCAATAGGTGGCGAGTTGCCGAAGCTGATCTGCCTAGTGTTTGGCCAGTAGTAGGGCCGGGGACCAAGAGTCATAGCTAACACCCACTAAGTCAGTCAAAGAAACTCCTTCGTTCGAATGGGAAAGTCAGAAGGGTTACCTAGAAAAAATACAGCACCCGCGACACCAAGGATGTAGGCTGCCAAAGACTGCGTATTCCATGACCGCAAGCGCCAACTTTTGTAAGAGATGAATCGACCAAAAGACAAGAAACGCAGCCAAGACGAGTTGCGTCTTATCCGTTCGGGGGCGTAGGTTGATGCCAGGTTACCGATAGCGACGATGAGAATGGCTGTGAGGAAGAAGGCAATTGTTGGAAGGCCATATCGATGGTCGGCTTCGTACCAGAAAACCCAGTATGAGGTTTTCAAAGCACATTGTTCAGGCGTCATAGAACACATGCCAGCGTCACGGCTTGAGTGCAGCAAGACCGGCTGGTCCAGCCATGGGAGAGACATGCTGATTTTCCTCTTCGGTGATGAAAGGTTCCGTGCAGGTTGAAGAAGTCGCCGAACAACTATCACCAATACCAGCGAGTTGGAGCTGTTTAATGGGAAGAATCAACCGCAAGAATGGCTAGGATAGATCTGCTGGGGACCTTGGCTCTTTGGTGCCAATGAGCCATCGCGAATTTCTAAACAGCGAGCACGTTTTTGACGTAGCATCGAGAGATATGAAAGAAATAACCACGCGTATTGAGAGTGTTTTTGGATCCATTGTCCGGAAAATCATGTGTGACAACTATCAGGGTGTTGAGCGAGTTTGAGAGAGTTACGAAGCATCCTTCGGCACTAAAGCACCAGGTTCCTACCATTTGATACTACGCTGACTGAGAAAATGGTTTATCATTGGCCCAATCATCATATCCTGGACATGAGCCACGTGAGAAATGGGTTCGATGTTCGCGTTTCGTTCCCCCACTGTCCCGTTTCGACCCCAGAACGGAACTTGGATGCCGTGTCATCCTATCTAGCGCAAGAAAACTTGCTCATATTGCGCGCCGGCCCCATCACCCGGAAACAAGCATTGATGAGCCGCAATTGCCATTTTCAGGATGCAATCAAACAAAAAGCTTGAGTTTCTCTTTGTGAATTGCTCCACCATGAGCATGAACTTGCTCAGCAACTCGTTAGCAAACGCTGATTAAATTGCGCGGCGCTGTCACTTTTCCATATCATAAACTCGCAAGACATCCAACGTGAATCTATTTTGCAGTCTTGACACCATCCTCACTTTTACCGAATTGAACATAGAACCAACAAACTGCTTTCGACCCTGGTACCTCGACCCTTGACCCAATTTCCCCATCACTCGCATCGAAAGGATCACTCGTGTCAACTGCCCACGATGATGGACATGAATATGGCAACCACAACCGCCATGGCGATGGCAACTTCGACCAGCATGTCTGACAGCATGTCCATGTCAATGGAAGATATGACTATGACGTTTTTCGAATCCTTCACAAGTCCTCTGTACTCCACGTCTTGGTCGCCAACAACGAAGGGACAGTACGCCGGCACTTGCATTTTCCTCATCAGTCTCGCCTGCATCCTGCGATTGCTCTTGGCCCTCAAGCCAATTTTGGAAGAGCGGTTCTGGAGAAACTACCCTGTATACGAGTCAGACAAAGCTTTAGGGCAACATGGTGATGTTGATCCTGGAGCGGGCGTAGCTGTGGTACGGAGAGACATTTGCAGTCGGTGGAGGGGTTGGAGGGCGGGTGCTTCTGCGGCAAGAGCAACCTACGAGGTCATCATTGGGGGTGTTGGGTACCTTCTGTAAGCGCTGTTTGTTTGACTGTAACTCCGGAAATGCCGACTAACCTGTCTCCAGAATGCTTGCGATTATGACGATGAATCTTGGTTACTTTCTCTCCGTGCTTGGCGGGATCTGGCTTGGAACCTTTCTGATTGGCGGTCTCGCCAGCAGCAGTGCAACCATCCACTGCTAAAAGCACAATATCGGGGCCGATGAAGGAACGCGAAACGACAACGGGGTTGGGAAAGTAATTACTCAGTAACAATTCTTATTGAAATTAATTGCTGCTCACGGATCTACCACAAGGATGCCAGGGTCTTAATCTATCACCTCGCTTTCAAGACGTTTCCTTGGCCTCTTCCTCGAACTGAACCAGAACTGTCCCAGCTTTGCAGATGTCCTAGCTGGTGTTAGCCAATGACTTGTACGTTGATGGAGAGGATAACTTACACCCTCCTTATGTGCTAACTTCTTCACCACGCCATTTTGAGGCGATCGAATGACCGTCTCCATTTTCATTGATTCAATGCTGCGATGTCGGGTCAGTTCCCAACGGCTCCATGGTCATACCAGCGAGTTAAACTTACACTACTAACGGGGCTCCCTTGGCAACCGTCTGGCCCTCCTCAACCTCGTTCTTCAGGATCTTGCAGGGCATCGGTGCTACTACAGATGCAGTAATCTCCTTGAGTCCAAGGGCCTTCTCAAACCAGGCTGGTGGCATGAGGGCGAGCTCCGTCTTGACGCCGTGTTGAAACACCACGATCTTGGTATCTTGTTCGCTCTGAGAATTCTGCACAACAGTAGACTTGACTCGCTCCGCAGGAAAGTACGTCGTTAATGCGCTCGTTGATGATGTGTTTGAGAGGGTTTTGCTGACAAGGTTCTCGAAGACCTCTGGCGTCTCTACTCCCTTTCTTGAAACTCGCGCGGTGAATAACTGATGCGCTGTTTGTGTGATGCTTACGTCGACAATCTCCCCCTCCAGCTCGCTGTATGAATCGAGGACCTTGAAGGCAAGCTTGCGTTCTCCTAATGTGCTTGCTTCCCCGAAGCCCAGACTACCGCCGTGCGGCCCTTCGTTCACAAGTTGTGACGAGAGAGAACCCAGGGCAGCCTGGACAAATACCTCATTCTCGATCGGCCTGGGCTTGAAGAGCTCATCTTTCCACTTCTCGATAAACCCTGTCTCAACATCGCCCTCAATGAAGGCCGGCGATCTACATAGCCGCTTGAGAAACTCAATGTTTGTGCTGAGGCCAACAACCTCGTAATCACGGAGAGCGAGTTCCATCCGGCGAATAGCAGTCTCTCTGTCCTTGCCCCTGACGATAAGTTTGGCAATCATGCCATCGTAAGCTTCCGAAACGGTGTCTCCTTGGACAAATCCAGCATCGATGCGGATGTCCTCGCTCGTCTTGGGTGTCGTGAGGTGAATCAAGTTTCCAGAGTCGGGCATAAATCCTTTCTCGGGGTTCTCGGCATAGATGCGAGCCTCAATGGCGGCACCATGTTGCTTGATATTTTCCATAATTTCTTCCTGTGTCAAGGGC